CAGCTTCTCGTAGATCTCCGCAGCGAGGGTTAGGTTCGGGTTTTCCGCGTCCTGGGGAGACGGGGGAAAAAGTCAACATGCAACATGAACCAGGAATATACTGCGTTCAATGCATGTCCTCCTTCCTGCATACCTTGTAGGACCCGTGTCCTCCATGGTCGACAGGGACCCGAAGGATGTCAGGTGATATGTTGTACATATTTGATCATTCTGTGTGTGTGTGCCGGTGACCACGGAAGGCGTCCGCGTCAGTTGGATCAGCTGCGATGGTAGACGGTACTGGGCAGAGATGGGGTTTTCTATGCACACAGTCGCAACAACAATTTAAACGAAGCATTCCATCCGACTTGATAATCCCGCCTGTCTTCCGTGCGTGATTCTCTTACGGTAAGGAGGTAGCATACGGGCTACAAGTCGGGGTCAGACACAGCAATGTGGTCGAGGTGGGGAATGAAAAGTGATGACAACATGAGACCCGCGGATAAGCAAGATGACTACTCGACACAAGACGCCCACGTCCCTCTTAGCTTGCAGAAACGAATGATGCTGCACATGGCTTGGTTCCCTCTGATGCAAAGACGTCGAGAATGAGGAGGACATGGCCGCGGCCAACGATAATCTGGTGGTAGTGGAAGCTATGTGGACATTTACGCTGTGAATCTGTCAGTGACACGAACACCACAATATTGACACGCAGACCAACAGCAGCAACAGCAAGAGCAGCAGGAGCAAGCCCCACACGAGGGAGGTATGCATAGGATAACGGTCGATTCGTCTATTTTATGGCCAAACACGAAACCGTTCTGTTCTTGCACTTCGTGGAAAAAAAAACTGGTATCGCTGGTGGCGGGACATCACGACGATAACCTCTCCATGGTAATAACCATGGGTATGATGCCGACGACAAAATTAAGTGATAGCAGTTACGAAAGTTACACCAAACAGTACCTTGGAAACTATCCCGGCGACCTTGACCAAGCACGCGTTGGCTTGGGACACGCAGCCCTCGCCCTGCCAGCACAGCGGACGGCGTGAGCAGCACATAGGTGCAGTAGTCGGACGGCAAAAATCATGGCTCTGCGTCACACTCAAGAATTCGTGGGGGGTGTAACAAGGTACACCAGACAGGTGCTGTCGAGTTTACCATTCCCCGTCAACGGCTTCGATCGGATCGGAATCCATTCAACAAGGCTAAAGAAGCACGGCAGCGGCGGTGTGAAGCCGCCAGTGAGAGCGAGAACTGAGACACTTCGTTCAAATGCACGTCACCACGAAATAATAGGGGTCAAAATAGTGTGCAACGTAACTAAAATAGGAGATCGCAGAACCATCACTGACACACAGACAATCGAACAATCGATGCCAGTTCCGTTACGAAGAGAGAGAGAGAGCGAGCGTCAACCGAAGGGATCGGAAAATGCAACAGACCGGGGTGTTGATGGCATCGACCCACACAAAACCTGACAGAAGCAAGCAACAGCCTGCGATTTCTAAAAAGCTAACATCAGCAGTTCGTGAATGGACCAGCACCTTGTCGCAAGCCAGAAAGAACCAGGACCCGAATCTCAACCCAAAGGCCACAGCAGCCAAGGGAACTCAGCGGGAAAACTAACTACCTGCAGAGGAGTGTGTCCGTTCAGGAAACAACGACGGGGCAAAATAGTTAAAACTCGGTTGACCGTTCTACACGGAAGGCACGGAAAAAAAAAAAAAAATGGTGCGCACCGCAAGGTATTCTGACGCCTCTTGCAGGGACTTGACCGCATCATCGGTCATTCCTTCCGCCTCGTAGATCTCTCCGACTTCCTGAAGCATCTTACCCGCCTGCTGGAACCGTCCCGACTCGTTGTAGATGTCAATCGCCTTTCGGAAAAAATCGTTCGACAATGGGGAAGGGTGGAAGAGTGCCGTTGGACGTTGAGGAAGCACTTTTCTCGTCAAGAGTCAAGAGTTCCGTGTGTCAAGTTCCACACAGCAGTCTTGCTCCGCGCGCGGGAGAAATTTTTGATGGAAGTGCATTGACAAAAGTGTTGCATTATACGCCCTTTCGTCTCGTCAGGCATTTCTTCTTTCCAGCTTCTAACCATTCTGAAAGTGACCATCAACAGGAATCTGCCACGGATCAGTCCGCGAAATACAACAAAATACAACAGGAGCCACGCCAGACATAGGCGTGGCGCATGGTTCAAAACAGCATCATCACCACTATGGCACCCTTACCCTTCGCTGTCACATGCCTACAGCAGCACTTGCAACTCGATATCGTCCGTGTAGGAAGTGGTCAAGCTGCCTACGGCCATATTGTCGCCAGATATCGTGAGCATACAGTATGCAAGGTGCGCCTCCGGATGGCTCAATAAAACATAGTAGTAAAGTCATCCAAAGCGCGTGATGCAACATGAAAGGAAAATATTGGGTTGATGTGAATCAGCTGCAAGCTGCGATCAGTGACGTTTCCCAAGCTCGAACAGCTCGAACAGCTCACGTGACGCGAAGGGCCCGGCGACACTCAACGAACCTTCAAGAATGCCTCAACGGCGCTGCTTGGCTCTACGGACTTGCGGCACTTGGCGACTTCAACGTAGGCCCTCGCCGACTCGTGCGCGCTCTTGGCGATCTCGTACTGCTCCGCCGCGCGCTCGTAGCAGTTGCCCGCTTCCTCCATGTTTCTCGCCACCTTCCCGCAAGCAGTGGCCACGATAGAGCCAGCAACGAAACAAAAGGATAAGGCGCATGGTGGATCACACACGCACAACAATTAACTCGCCGGTTGGAGAATCAGCGCTCGTCTTCGATCGGAGTGTTCCAAGTTCGAAGGCTCTACTTCGTGCTTTGCCGCGCGCGCCTGGCATCCCGACTGGCCTCCCTTGTCGTTCTCGTCGTGTTTCAAACAGCATCACCAATTCCAAATCGCTTTCAAATCACAGAATAACTTGTGCACTCGTTTGCACCTCTTCGAAGGAAAGAATGTCTCGCTGCGACACAACAAACAATAAACACGCGGCCAGCCGAATGTGTGTGTGGTTTTGTTGTTCGAGCGAAAAGAGATTTCTAATCTGGACTGCCAGCCCCCCGAGTTGCAAGGGCTCGCTCAAAAACAAAAAATCTTGCGTGTCTGCACGCGCTTTACCTAGGTTTCAGACTACATCACTTGATTATAAAGGGGGTCGGCACATTTTTTTTCTTCGGGGCACACGGCAGATTGCAGCTGCACAACACACGCACAGACACACACGCAAAGCAACCAACACACGCCCAGCGGGCACAGCGGATAAAAAAGTGCTACAAGCCGCGTTCAGGGCGTTGCTCGTCCAAACCGAGACATTGCATGGCGCTCTCGCCTTGACTGCTGCTGCTGGTGACGCGCGAGGATTGTGTGTATACCACACATGACAAAACACGGAAACAGTAGAATGAAGACAGCAGCAGCCCCAAGGCCTCCAACGCGCTCATTCCTTCTGTTCGTCTGTCAATATGTTCTCAACCAAAGGCGCTGAGCTGCTTCGTGGGTATTGGGGGCTTGGGTACTGCTGGAGTAGGTGTGCGAGAGATGTGTACCACCTCGCCAAACTGCCTTTCGAAACAATGCGGTGAGATGGCCTGTTTTGGGTCGGGGACAGTCCCACAAACCACGGCACCAGCGAGCAGTAGAGTAAATAGAATTACGCCTCTCAGTGACACGCACTTCCGCCCGTGGACGCACACGCCTGACAACAGTTGCATCTATCAGCTGTCGCTCGTTGTGGCGACAACTATCCTTTCTTTTGCATCGGCGTCGCTAACCGGCTGACCAATGACAAGACGTCAGTTTCAGTGCGGTTGAAAACAGAACATGCTGCTCAAGGCCATGATCTGGGACCCTTTGTGTGAGTGGGTTGTGTGCGTGTCGTGCTCGTCCCGTCTGGTCTGGGTATCAGCCTCAACCTTTGAATGACGCGCTACATAGGCAGGATACAACGGGGAAGATAAAACACACGAAAATGTTGTTTCGTTACCGCGTGGAGCCCAAGGTGGTTGAAACTTCGACAGAGGGGAGGACGAAACAACACAGAGAAGCTCAACCACCTCCCCTGCTCCCAGAAGCCATCATATGGGGGGGGGGGTGCCTCCTAACAAACAAACAAATAAAAAATAGGACACGCCTCTGGAAACATGCTGATGTGTCACAGGCAGCCTACCTTGGCACAGCATACCCAGCAGCGGCGCGGCTCAATTTGCTCAGGGGTGCGAATTTAACATCAAATGATACGGCGCAGAGTTTGCCACCACCTGTACTGCTGCTGCAAGACCAACGAACGAATAATCAACCATCAACACGCACAACTCCCCGGCCCTACGGTGCGCGGAAGTAAGACCACAGAGGTAGAGTACTGCAGTAGCTTGCCAAATGATTCTGTAGGCCTACCAATAGAGTTGCTACCCTGCTGTGTCGCCCTTGCCTTTGGCAGCAACTGCCAGCTAGCAACCCCGAGGGCGGGGGGGGGGATTTGAGCGGCAATTCCGGCAATCCTCTAATTCCGTTCGACTCAATACAACACATGAACAGAGAGACAGAAGAACGCAAGGGGGCAGGCAGGCACACGACCGCTGACCTTGTAGTGGCGAGCCGCCTGATCGTAGCACTCAGCAGCATCCTCGTTTTTGGAAGTGCTGCTGAAGAACGACCACTTCTTGAGGATTTTCTCAGCGTCCGCGATGCACTGTTGAGCCTTCTCCTCCTGACCGCCGGACGCAGCCATAGCGACTCTCGATTACCCCAACCTTTTCTTTTATATCTATCCGCCCCCAGCAAGGCCTCTCCTCTCTCCTCTCGCCAGCTTACTCTAATGCAAGCTGCCTTTGCTGTCGCGAGGCAATTGATTGCACCGCGCTTTTTCCTCGGCCGCCGGCGGAGCGGCGGAGCCACACCTCCGTACCCTCCCTCATGTGCCAAAATTGACAATCCGCATACCCCCCCGCAATCACGGCGCCGCAATCATGCACGTGGTACCAGCGCAGCAACCTACCCGTTAGGCTACTGCTGTGCACTGCTGTAGTCCCACCCAAGCCTACACATAGATCAGCGCATGCTTGGGGTGCCCGACTGACCGAACCTGCGCTGTCTCTCGAAGGAGAGCCCGAAAAGTTGGCCGTTTCCAGCGCGGGGCAAAACGCTCGGCTATCCTGGCAGGTTCAACCCATACATCGCAGGAAGGTGGACCATGCCGTCCCTACGAGTCATGAGTGCCTTGGCTGTAGCTGCCATTGCCGCGAAGCCTGCGCAGGGATTCCTGGCTCCTGTTACGCCAGGGAGAGGGGGAGAGGCAGCAGGTTCCATCAGCAGCAACCGTCCAGCAGCAGCATCAGCAATGCAGCGTCTTTCCCGCTCCTGCGACGCTGGGGGAGGAGGTGTGGTGGCGACGGCAACAAGTAGCAGGAGCAGCAGCAGGCGTAGCAACGGCTTGACGATGATGATGATGGCCAAGAAGAAGGCCGGGCGGAAGAAGAAGGGGGCAAAGAAGGCTGCTGCGGGGAAGGCGACTGCCGGCCAGGGTGGTGTTGCAGTAGCTGAGCCAGCAGCACCAGCAGCATCGGCCGCCGCCGCCGCCGCCGCCGCCGCCGCCGCGGCGGTAGAAGAAAATGCCAAGATGTCGGCAGCGGGGACAACAATCAAGAACCGAGCGGGGGGCGAGCAGCCGGTGGCGATACCACCACCGACGACAGCAGCAAGGAAAGCCACTCCTCTCGACGCCGCCGCAGCTTCCGTGGATACCGGAGGCCCATCGCCAAAGGCATCCGGCGGGGCACAGGCCGCCGGCGGCGGTGCAACCAAGGGGTTCGGGGCCCCCGCGGCACCGCAACCAAGGCCGGTGCAGAAGGGGCTGAATAAGGGACCCGTGCCCATGAAGGCCCAGCAGGGCGGGGGAGCAGCGCAAACCAAGGCGCAGTCTTCTTCGCCGCCTCCGAAGCAGACGGGCTTCGACGCACTGGCGACAGGGGTGCCGGTTGGGGGGCAGACGGACCATCAGAAGGCGAGTCTTGGGGGAACGGCCTGTTTGTTGGGTTTGGGCAACGTCGCACGGCGGGTACATGTAGCGGAGGATGCGGTGGTCGTCGTGCCGCTTGGGTATTGCTAGATGAGGGTGATTGTCGTTGCTGCTGGTCAGTGCATGGCAATGGCGCGTGCGGCGCGTGTGGTTGTGGGTTGCAGTTTTAAATCCGAGGTGCATGTCATGTTCCTGCAACCTGCAACGAAACAAGACCCCCCCTGCCGCTGACTAGCGTTGACCGTTGCTGTCGACATGACCGTCTTGTCTCTGTTGGTTAGCTATCTCTGTCCTTGTGGGAATTTCCTGTCCAGGTGCCTGCCGTGCAGAACAGATGAAAAACGGCAGTACTGTAGTTCTTTTGGCACCGTTGTTTTTGTTGCCAGTGCTGCAGCTGGCCACAGCAGTTCTGCTGCCGCTGCTGTTGAATATTTCTTTCGGGGGTAACCGCCGCGACCGGTGGCTGTTTTATGCCGATCTCTGTCGACCTCTCAACACCCGAAGTGCGCAGCATATTTTCGTCGGCATTGCGATCTGCTGTTAGGGGTTACCATTGTTGCGTGTCAATGATGAGTGGTGCGCCAACGGAGCCGAAGGCCACTCTAGCGCTCATGACGCGTGGTACGACGTTACATGTGGTCTCTCCTGACTTCCTCTCGCTTACAACGAAGTTGGAGGCCGTGGCGATTCTGTTGAGCATCGGGTACGGTGTGTCTGTTGTCGGTCGATAGAATCGTCAAGCCTCGTCAAGGAGGACTAGGCTGCGCAGGCTAAGATACAGCGAATCGCCATCGCTGCATGTCGGATCGTGTATGATGATGAATAAGAGCGAACGCCGACGAACACCATCTCGTCGTGACGAACATTGTTGATGAAATATGATGAGCACTCGAAACCATTTTCCTTCTCGATCCTGGCAACGAAAATCGCATGTTGCGGGTGTTGTCTCCAACTAGTTCTCAACGTGTGATTGTTTTTACCTCCCCTTTTTTGTTTTCTCTTGTTCCTGCCACCTCCACACCTGGGCAGACGCTAACCGACGTGGAGTTTTCGGAGCCGGAATCGGAGCCAGACACGGTGCGTCTCAACAAGGGCGCGGGCAAGCGGCAGGTCAACGGCGCGGAGATGTCGCCAGCAGGTGCGGTGATCGCACTCCCTGAAGCGTTTCGGGATGTTGGGAGTGTTGCTGATATACTAGTATGTTGAAGCACACGGCTCACGTGTGCCCGCTGTGCTCTTCGCCTTGCATGCGCGCTGAGGTCTTGGCGCATCGCGAACACCATTGCCTACCGTAACTGTTTGGGTGATCGCACCTCCCCTCCTAGACACACGTTCGTACGTCTGGCTCGAATAACGTACCACAGGAAGGGCATCACTGCCGATACTACCTATTAGCATTCATTCGGTAGATGTGATCGAAAATTCAATAGACCTCCCGGCGGCTTTGACAGTCGGCCGATGGTGTTTGCGAATACTCGCATGTTTCTCTTACGTTTACGTCACTACATTTTGGCCGTGTCAACCGTTAGAAGTGGCTGGCCAATGGAAGACGCCGAAGAAGTACAATACTACACACGATGCACTCACGAGTTATTCTTAAACGACGAGCGATAGCAGCATGTTGATCCAGACCATGCTCTCGCCGGACGAATACACGACGCGTTGGAAGTACCGTGATTCCCGCTTCAGGTGTGCTGACTCCTGACTTGCCCTCAGACCCTAACCTTGAAGCGGGGACGGCTTTTTGGCGAAATTAACACCCAACAGCACCCTGCAATTAGCACGTCTTCATTCGCGGAGCATCGCGAGCTGGAGGTCGGGATGTCCCTTCTTGGGGTGTGACGATGTCGTCTGTTTCGTATTGCGCCCCAGGACACATTGGTGTGTTTGGAACGGCGTGTAGGTCCAAAAGATTAGTCACAGCAGTCTCCCCTTCGTTGTTTCAAGCAGATACCAGGTCAGACGTGGCTCTCGAGGTGCGATATCGGGAGGCTAGCATCACGAATTTCCATTCCCCAGAGTTGAGCCGTGTTTTTTTCGAGCCATTTGTGTAGCCATGATCTCCTTGCTTTGCTTTTGCTTGGATACCCAGATGTGTTCATGTGATGATTTCGAGGTGCATCACTACGTGATATCTGGCGTCTTGGTGATGATTCCCGTCCCTGAGAACACGCCGTTATTCTCCCGTTCAAATTGCACTTCAGAAGGTGTCCCGATTTAGTGCCGGTTGAATAGTGCCAAAGTCCGATATAGTGCCGGTAAATTTTCTTGACACGGACACAGGCCTGAATAGTGCCAAATCGGCACTATTGAGGCTTCCCTCTAATGTGCCGGTTCACGCACTATCGAACCCCTCAATAGTGCCGGTTCACACCCCACACACACCCTTTTTTCGCCTCAAGCCTTCCACGCCAACAGGATTCGGAGACAGTTTCCCTTCGAGCTACAAGTATAGCTCGGTTTCTCTCGGTACGCGTGACGTCTTCAAATGTCACGGTGTACCGATCGACTAGGTTCCACCAACAGGCTGGGATTTCAGTAGGGAGGCGAGCGAAGAAGAAGATGGTGGTAGTGACGAAGGATTGATATGGAAACTAAAGCCAAGGATAGCAGCGATGATGCAGGAGGAAAATATGGCGTTGAGGGGAACAACAAGAGTTTCGAGCGAGATGACCTTCCTCGCAACAAACGCCGCAGGGGCGCAGAATCCAGAGATGAAAGCCCGAAAAATAGTGGAAAGATATTAGTGAAGCGTGAAGTAGTGGTGGTAATAAAATACTTCTGAGGAAGGATGAAAGCACTACGAACAAACCCGTGTTCAAAAGTAGTAAACCTTGGCAGTCACGTAGTTCTCCTCTCTCGGTTAGCACCATTTCTATCTTTGATCCAGAGAATAGCTCAGCCTCCTCCATGACACCCTTTCACTTCCTTGACAAACAAATATTTTCTGTTTTTGACCGCACTGTGACTGACGACGTCTTCTGGTTGGCCAGTCGTTTTTTGTTGCTTCTGAAGGCTTGGTCTTCTCTCTAGCTTTTTATCGAAGGCACAGGGGAGTTCGTTATCTACTTCACCCCTTTGTTAGCTTTCATCTGCTTTATTTGTGTGCTCATGTAAGGAGCACTACATCAATCCATGTTTTACCTCCAAATGTACCCCGGGTGCATGCATGAGCGTCTTTCTTTCGCTGTCCGAGGTGCCTTTGAGGTTACCTGAAGAAAAATAGTGCTACGGCCTTCTTCCAATACAACACATATTAATTTGACAGCGAGGTGAACTTTTATCGGGCAGCACAGACTACGGTTGAAAGGCAGCAGCAACGTTTCACTAGCGAGTGCTTGCGCTGAGGTGGGAAAAGAACAACTGGCGTGCAACAAATCCATCTGGTCAATCAAGTTTATTTTAATGTGACCAATGCCGTGTTTTCGACAGTCCAAGAGCCTCACGAAACTTAATGAAGTCCGCCCACGTCGCCCACCTCATGATTGATCCCAACACCGTTCGTTTGGTACTCTGTCAGCCCCGCAACGCGCAAGCGCTGCACTCTGAAGTCGAACAGTCCTGAATAGTGCCAAGCCGGCACTAAAAAGGGATTTTCGGGCCCTGAATAGTGCCGTTTTGCACTATTTAGGCACAATTCTGGATACTGCCGGTGCCCGGGATAGTGCCGGTCAAATCGCCTGGACACATACCGGCACTATATCGGGACACCCCCTGTAACTCCCACCCGCAAAAGAGTCACTCCCGTTCAGTCATATGCCCAGGCATGTCAGACAGCCTCCAAGCGGGTAGTATTACATGTCATGGAGACGATGAACCTCACAATAGAGGGATGCCAAGACTCCCGCCAAGCCCAACGAATATGTGCAACCGACTACCGTATATGACACAAGATAACACACCCCCTGGACCGATTTCAAAGCTCGATTACTCCATAACGAAGAGGATGCATAAACGAAATGATACATTTTCGAAAAGCTCTCGACGAGACGGTTTCAACGCCGCCGTTTTCGGCGCTGTGACTGTTCCTGCAGTTGAGAAATCGAGCTTCGAAAATTGTTCAAGGGGGTGTGTTATCTCGTGTCGCATACGGTAACCCAGTCATCCTCTACGCTCGCTGGCTTCGTTACACCAGTCTCGTCGTCGTTAACGCTGTACCACCTGCTGTTTACCCTTCGTACGCGCACGTTTCGCTATGGCAGACATGCTCCAGTACCTCAGAGACAACAACCTTACGATCGATCTGGAGACGATGAACCCGGTCGAGATTCCGAAGGAGACCGATGCCAAAATGGAGGCATTTTTCCCCTTCCCCCCGGCAAACGTCGTGGCCAAGTACTCCCTGGGTGCCCAGCCCAAGCCCTCGCAGTTCGCCGCTGCAGTGATCGTGAGTACAACACAGCATTTTGTCTACAGCACAGTATACTTTCTGCAGGACATGGGGTATTATCATGCTTGCCACTTGTCCATGTTTTTTTTTTTGGTATTTTCGTGGGCTACTGCTGTCCTTAGCGCTGCAAGCAAGTCTTCACTAGTTCCACTGTGGTGTTGCTGTTGTAGTTTCTTCATCCGCACTGCTGTTCTTGATGTCAACACCGCTTCTGTCGGTGTACGCCATAGATGGCCACACAAGACCTATTTTAGGTTTTCTCATGCTCCATTTTGCAGTGGTTACCTTCAGCTTTCATCGCGAGAAGAGAATTTGTAGTTTCTCTTCGCAGGAGATTTTTTTTTCTAAGCCAATGGGAACCCTAAGCACTGCTAGATTAGAGGCAGTTACAGCAGTTTCGATGCGTATTTTACCCCTTTCTCATGTCCCCCTCTACTAGTAATCGCAACTGCCTCCCGCTCACCAGGCGCTGCTGCCGGAAGATGAGCCATGGAACGGAGCCAAGATTCGACCGCTGCCCGAGCTGAAGGATTTCCTATTGGCGAACCGTCGGCATGGGGGGAAACGAGGGATGAACGTTATCTCGGCCATGATGCTCAAGGCAATGAGCGAGGGGGACCTGTGAGTTATTGTCGTTGGTTGGAACAGCAACAGCGATTGTTGTTGTTATTGCCGTTGATGGTATTGTTTGGCTACCTCGATCTACCGTTCTACGGCCGCGGTCGCCGTTCTCTTGCTGCTGCTGCTCTTGTGGCCGCCGCCGCTGTTGTTGCTGCAGCGTGTTATTGCGTGTATTGCAACGATACAATACAATACAATACAATACAATATTGTTGTGTGGGTGTTTTTTTTGTCGGCGGATGTGCCTATAATAACATTAGAACCTTGGTCTCCGTCGTCCTCGTCGTTGGGCTTACTGCCCTTGCTCTTGCTCTTGCTGCTGTGGTGGTGTATCACTTTGACTTTCGACAGGGATCGCGCCAAGTACCTGAAGGGCGCCGCGATATGCATGACCAAGGCTGAAGACACCATCACCGGTCCTTTCCGACAGGTATATATCATACCGTACCATACCATACCATGCTACACCATACCAAACTAAACGATACCATACGGAACTGAACCATACCATACCATACCACACCATGTCATGCTATTCCAAACCATACCATACCATGCCGTGCAATCCCATGCAATGAATGCACGCGGGTATCCTACGGCGATAGTGTCTGTCTTTCGCAGAAAAATTGAACAGGGGGGAGAGCACTGCACGTAGTTGGTTTGGAAGGGGTGTCTTCTTGGACCTCTGCGGCAGATGAAGGGTGTGCGGGGAAAACGAATGCCACTGTAACGGCAGCAGGTGCGTGTGGAGTGGGTTGTGTGCTTCGCCGAGCTTTGGATGAGGACACTACTCAATGTTGTCGGCCCCTTGTAGCTCTTATGACAGTCCACTGCTCGCCGTACACAACGCGTATGATAACACACATCACAGGCTGTTATGTTTGCGGAGAACCGGTTGGCGCCGTGCATGGGGAGCACGGTTTGCGAGGAGTACGCCGGAGAAGACGCCGCGGACGCTGCAGCCACGTGGGTCGTGCTCAAGGCTTGCGTTGCGGAGTGGGAGCTGCGCCTCAGGTCAGGTCTGGATTGGATTGTTGTGTACTCCGTTTAGGCCAGCCGATATGGCAGTTGGTTTGTTTTTCATTGCACGTCGAGGGACTACTCATGAGTAAATCAGTCCCGCCAAATCCGAAATTTCAACATTATAGGTACAAGTTAAAGGACTGAACAACCCCTAAGTTATTTCTCCGAGTCATTGTGCGTGTTCGTAGGCGTGCCTCATGCAGGACGGGCTTCGTTTGGGCGTGCATGCTCTCTCGCCCTCTTTTTGTCCCCAATAGCGCTAACCGAGGTTAGAAGATTGGAAGTCTCCGACCATGAAATTGCTCCAAAACATCGAAATAACAAAATCGAAACCACAACGTTTCAGGGAAATGCGGGGGGAGGAGATCGGGCTCCATGACATCTTCCGGACCATCCCCAACCCCACCATGGGTTTGGACGAGGAGAGGACGGCGGCCATCACAGGGAGCGTGCAGGCCATGGGGTTGGCTTTCAGCAACAATGAAAAGCTCATGAAGGTGAGTGGCTACAGTAGCTCACTTACAGGGTAGAGGCGAGCATGCTGCCTCTGCCTTTGTCTTCGTCTTGGTCTTTGAACGGTTCCGGTTGATCGTTTTGAAAGCATGCAAGCCATTGCAAGCCATTGCAAGTCGCGGGCTGTCTTTGTGCGACGACGGAAACCTCACGATGCCTGTCGGTGCTATTTACACCCTGACTATGCGCCTTGCTTGCTTCTTGCCTCTCTTTGTTTCCTTGTGTCGAAATCGGTTACATATCGATAGGCAGCTATTCTTGTGTTCTCTTACAAACTTGATTCCATGTAGCCTCGACATGAACCAACGTGTTTGTATCTTCGTCTTTGAGGAAAGGTCTGTCGGGCGTAAGCAGAGTCGTTTGGATGCCTCTCGCTAGCCTGGTTTGATACGCTGGCTAGGATATCAATACACTCAATAGCACACACAATGCCCAGGCGCGTATTTCGTTTTCCTCGACTTCCATCGTTGTTTGTTTTCCGTTCCGGCTTGGCATGCCGGCTTCACGTTGCGGTTACTGGGTGCCTACCATTTGTCGTTGCGATGACGGCGCCAAAGGGACACGGTCAACGTTTCCAATTTTTTTTTTCTTGTGGACGCAACATAATGGATGTCGTGCGAAATATTTTGAAGTGCTACAATATATTGTTTCTCTCTCGTGTAGAATACTAATTTGTATTACATGTTATCCGTTATTTCCAGGGCCTACCGGCGGTGCTGCGGTTCATGGACGGAGCGCTCGGACTCAACACCACCACTGACGTTAGGCGTTTCGCCTTGAAGGAGTTCTGTCCGAAGGAAGGCATGGCGCCCGAGGACCTGAGGCTCAGGGTTCGCTCGTTGATGACGGGCCTTGACCAGCTTCCCTCAAAGTCCTACCACCAGCTTCAGGTACTGTACGTTTGTTCTTGTTGCTCTTGCTGTTGTAGTAGTTGTAGCCCGAATGGGAGCTTAAATGGGCCGAATCGGAGCTGTTGTGTTGACATGAACACCGTGTCGATCTCCACTCAGTACCCGCTGACATGACAGCCTCATGGTCCAACTGACTTAGGCACCTTCTGTGACCATAGCCTTTAATTATAACACACCCGGATTGAGGTTCGGTTGCGTTGTAGCGTTGTAGTATGATCGGTATCCTCACAAGACTTCAAGAGTTTAAACGGCACTGCCATGTGTCTCGTGTGCAAAGCGAGCTTCACTACCCCGGACGTACCACGAGCATCAGCAGGAACCTGTCGATACCGCTCATCCATGAGCACCAACGTTTCGACGCTGCACCACCTTTGTTGTTGCTCTTGCCGGTTCTTGTGCCGTTCCACTGGTTATTAACATTGCCGCCCAGGTTGCCGTCGCAGACGTGTACCAGTGTCTTGCCGAGGGGACGGAGGACGAGTACTGCCTGTACCTCAACAATTGGGAAGAGAGCACTACTCAGGGCGACGAGAACCTTAGCTTCCAGTCCTACAGGTGTGTGTTAAGCTGTTGGAGTGGAGGGTGGCTCTCGCTTAGTGGTACTTGTTCCGTTCCGCCCTCCCAATCGTAGACACTACGGCTGGCTTCTGGCTAGGTATTGTGGTCGTTGATCTATTATTAATAGTCGATGGGCTTCGCGCTCCTACCGGGAGGTGGCAAGTTTTGTCTCAGGCATGTCCTTGTGCTAGAGGTGATGCCGATGCTGCTGGTGTTGAGGGCGGAGGGCGGAGGGCGTAGGTGGGTATTTTCGCCTCGTAACGGGAAGACGAGGGACCACAGACTGTAGACCCGACCGGAGCACAATGGCTCTGGCGAGGCCTCATCAATACTAGGTATGGGGGGGTAATGAGCCGCGTGGTGCGACTCAATACCTTGCAGTAGTCTTATCTGCGATGCTGATGGTGCACGAATCCCGACACACACCAGCGTGAATCATTTGTGGTGCAGCTACGCGTGCACCGCAGAGGGACAGCGGGCGTGCGACGGGAGCGACGATGATTGTATGTGCGGCCACCGCTCAAAATTTTGCACTTCACATGCGGTTATTTCTTTCCGTTTAGATGCGCATGCACGAAGCATCAAAATGTGAAGTCTTCCCGCTGTGCGGACGTAAAACAACGAAAAACCATTGATGGTCATGTGACGTCATGACTTTGATGCAAGAGGCCGAGAGGCCCTGCTGCAGCCCTACCTGCAGCAGCAACAACAGCATGCAGGGCACGGCTTTCTTTGCGAAGACAGTCAGTAGCGCGGCGCAAGTACGCAATCTGAACCGATCCCGCGGGGAACCATCCTCATAACGCACAGCAGCAGCAGTAGTAGACCTTCACCCCCTCGACGGTAGGTAGGTGTGATCTGGACTTGGTTGGGAAGGTGTGTTATTTGTTTATTGTTGTTGGACCTACTCAACATCAATGAATTCACGCCAGGTTATACATGGCGCATGCCTACAGTATACCCACGGTGCACAGGTCGTATAGGCCCGGCCACTCCTGGTTTTATTAGCTGGTCTCAGACCAGTGTCTCAGCGGTGTTGCATTTGTTGGTGGTATTCTTGCGTCTCTGTCGGTGTTTCTTGTCCTGGTCTGAATCGCGCGCGCGCACGATCTCCGCTTTTGTGCACGCCTTTTCGCGTAGAAACCCCGGGGTTGGGGACCAAAATCTCCCACGAACATAGGTTACATATGCCGGTGACGTTCGGCCATCTGCTCTCGAAGCACGACGAAACCGGTTTGGAGAAGAGCGCGCCATTTTTCTTCTTCCTCAGAAGCGAGTAGATCGTCAATCGGTGCCCTATAGATCTCGTTCTGGTCCCAAAGGTGTGTTTAATAGGCATCCCGGAAACCAAGTTTTGGGGCCCCTCTATCGCGCGGCGCAACTATGGCTGATATGTAGAGCCTTTTTTTCCCTCCTGGGGACGAAGGGAAAAAATGTCGCTCGCTTCGCTCGCTCCGCGGCTCATCAAAACCCCACCCCCCATGTGCAGATTACTCTTTGTTACGACATGGTATCCAGAAATAGACTGGACGCGTGAAACGTACTTGGAAGGTACACCGGCCGCTCAAGGTTGTGATGGATGCCACCCTCTCCGGTGCAATCTGTTGCTGCGCAGCTCGGACACGTGCTCGGTGTGTGTGAGATTAACTCCCCGTTTGCTTCAACTCAACACTGCTGTTTCACCAACGCACACCAAACTTTTTTTTTTTTGCCGTCTTGCGTGTTGCGGGTTGCGTGTTAGGCTGGACACCGGTGAGGTGTGGCGAAACCGTCTTCGCGAGATCGTGACGACGCCGGTTCCCGTTCGGGAAGACAAGGACGACTACGAGGTGCTCTTCAAGGAGATTTTGCCCAAGAGCCTCTGGAACTTCGCTGCCTCAGACAACACGGACAATTTCGAACTCCCTTTCGTGTACCTCAAGAAGGTGTGGTGCACATTCACGGTTCTGCAATATATATGCTTCGAAGTACATTTTTTCCGGAACGAGATGAGCGTTTCCAAATCGTGGAGTATTATAGTAAGCCCGCGCGCCTGAAGCTGGGACACTGGTAGCTGCTGCACCTGTTGAGGCTCTCGGCAGTACGTGCCATTACGTACATCTTTTCGAGGAATACTCCCCAAGATACAGCGAGCCAAGATAAGTTCAATTCTTCGAGGAGGCGCATTTTGGAATTTTGTGGTCAGTGACTAAAGTAATTGCCAGACGAAGGAGCTCCCTTACGATAGATACTGTACTGTTATCTACCATTGTCTCCGATAAGGAGGCTGGGCCTCGTCATCTGCTTCTTCGGGAGAGGACGAGAAGCCTGGCACTTGCTGGCGGTTTACATGCTTTGAAGGAACATATTCTTTGGGATATGTGTTTCATGCACCGCTCAGCACACGTTGTCACTTTCCTCGGCATGGCGTGGAGTACACTCCCCGTCCGTAATGGGAAAATAAATCTCCACATCTCCCGCTCAACGCTCATCCTCCTCGCTTCTTGTCCTCGAGGGGCCATCATTTTCTCACGGAACATGTTGCAAACTACCACCCCACCCCTTTCCAACGATTTTCAGGGCTGGTGGGACTCGTTGGACTACTTGGACCCTGACCGGGTCGCGGAGATGAGGGCGAGAGAGGCGGAGGAGAAAGCCCTGGTGATGGAGGACCCCAGTTTACGGGCGGAGGAGGAAGATGATGGCGAAATGGATGATATCTTCACCGACTTCATGAAGGAGCAGGAGCTGGAGGTGGGTTTTCGTTTTCGTTTGCGTTGGAACAGCACCAATGAACAGCGTTCGTCAGCTGAAAACTTGATCATTGCTCCTCAACCGTGTTGCCATTGAGTTGGACGAGCGTGTAGTTCCCTGTAGACACTTCACTAAACCGTTTACAATGTGGTAGTTCCAGATGTAAGATGTTAATTGTATTTTGGCACACGTTCACAACGCCGTAGTTCCAGATTCAAGATGGTAATTGCCGCACGCTACTATGCTTCTTGCTCTCAAGGTATTTGTCGAGTCAGAGATGATACCATATTTTCTGTGTTCATGCATGAAGATGTAGTTGTAACCGAAACGCGAAACGCGAAACGCGAAACGCGAAACGTTGATTGCAGCATCAACAGGGACGATGATCGGCGTAAGTGTACTTACACCTGACGGGGTACCAAGTCATAACTATGATACAGTGCACGTTCCTTCGAAGAAGCGAACAAGTTCAAGCGTAGTTTTCATCGTTTTCTCTTTCTTTCATGGCCTCTCTTGTCATGTCCGTCTGCTTTTTCTCGGGCGAAGTAGAAGCAGCTTGTTTGTCTTCCGTTTATCGCACATCTCCTGTGTATCGTGCAATTCGGTTCTCGCCTGGTGTGTCTAGTACAGTTTGTTGCGTACGTACAGACTGTGGAGTGTTAAGGATGAGATGAAGGTCAAGGTGGGCTCTCGTGCGCATCTCAGGTTCTGGGGTACCTTTGTCTTGCGAAGCCACGCGGTGTTAGCACTCAACGTCATGCCAAGAAAGTGTTTTCCTGCTCCGTGCACACTTTTATCTCTTGCTCTCCCCCCCTCAATATATCTACATATCTATCTCTATGTATCCATCTCTCTTTATTTCTCTTGTCTTGTTATCTCCCTCTTGTTTCACTCCTTCCACTCTCTCTCTGTCGGTGTTCTCCCATTCTGCGACAACTCCTCTGCATGCTGCCCCACCAGATGTCGAACTTCGAGTTCACTGAGGAGGATTTCGCGGACGATGGCAACTACGACGATATCCGCGACGGGCCAGGCCCTGGCATGGAGGAGGTAAACCTTGGCTTCGAAGGCGGCCCCGGTGTCGTGGACTTTGGCCTCTAGAACAATATAAACCCCTTGCCGTCTTGTAATGCTTGCTGGGACTATCAAATGGTCCGGTGATAGAACGAAGAATATGGGGAGCACGGTAAGGTGATTGAAATAGGGCCTGTTGCCTACGTGTACCTGGTACATCGTAGAATGCTGGCTTTTCCTCTTCGATTTTTTTTTGTTTTGGTCCTCACGGGGGATGATATCGCCCGACAGGATCCATAGCGACAATCTCGGGTGGAAGGTTTGTCTCTCTGTTGTATTCTGTTAGGATTGGCGCGGAATGTTGAGGCACGGGCCGAGGGATAAGAACGAGCAACATCTGTACTGTGGTTGATACAGTAGTAATCGAATACTGGGTAGGAAATATAAGCGTTTTTTATGCGTTTTTGACATGGCTGGTTTGAAGTTTCGAGTCTGGTCACGCTTTTGATTTGACGAGTTAAGCGAGCGACGAGACTTTCGGACTAACATGAAGTTTAGCCCGCTAGGCTGATTGTGGTAAATGGGAATCAAGCGTCGCACTATGTAGCCGAAGTTATCGCCACGGGGTGGGGGCGATGTGGTTTGCACCGACTTCCATGGAGCTGGAGCGCCGCGTTAGCCGGAGTTTGATTATTGAGCTTCAGACTGTCTTCGCCATTGACTTGACTGTTAGTAGTAGTGATGGCATTCATTCTGTATGCCGCGGATAGCTACACAGCGGATTTATTTCCTTCCATGGCACTGTCGTCGATGTTGTTTATATATCTCGACCGCGATGCGAACATAATGACTCTTCCTCGACGTAGTTTTTTCCTACTCGAAACGACCAGTCATTCGCCGGTACTTTGGCCTGTTTTTTCGGTAGCCCTACACTTTCGAACATCTGCCGGCTTAGCAACTAAAGTAATTTCTAAAACCATGACCTGTACAGGAGCTGAGAGTCATCGTTGCATCGAGTAATTTTGCGTAGCTTCGAACTGCTGGATGAGGGACCATTTGTACTCTCGATGGATGGGGGAACCTCCCGTTCTCTTTCTGTGAAGACGTTCTGAGGGACAAGGTATTCCAATGTTGATGCCGGCGGCGGCGGTGTTACTCGGAGTACATCGTCAATGAGGATCCCCCATGTTCCATGCTTGTGATCGAAACGAAAAGGGTTAAACTGTGAATGAATATCGCTGACGACACACAATGAGGTGCTCGTCGTACCGGGCATTTCTGGTCGCAACCCCAAGACCCCAAACTCCCCATTCTCGAAACGTTGATACATCACGTTTTCAATCTCCGATGACGAACCTGCATGTACAGCAGTATCTGTGTTTCTTCGCTATGACGTGGGTGGTATTTATTTCATCGCATCTCGTATCTTTGCTCTACCCTCGATCCTCGTTCCTCGCTACTGCCGTTCCGTTTGGGATGCCCCGTCGGAGATCTACCTTGGGATCTCCGCAATCTCCCAAATACATGGTCATGGTCTGAATGTCTGAATGTAGACGACAGATGAGGCTGTCCTTTCAGGAATCGAGATGAGAGAAGCCGAGTCACGGAGAAAACCCCTTCAATCACCTGCACTCTTGCTGAGACTGCTGAGGGAAGGTGGTTTTTTACTTTGGAAGTGTAGGTTTTCTGTCTTTACCGGCTTCCGGCAACGAACGAAAACTGGTTTATTTGTCCGCAACAAGGAGCACATCATCGGCCGGGAGACTTGTTTGGGCGAGAGCGTGGTGAGTGATTTGTCAAAGTTAAAGTAAGGGTTAGAGTTACGGTTACATTAGCCTAACGTGGACCGAGATGTTTCGCCGATGTGAGCCACCTCAAAGCCAAAAAAGGCTACGTGCGTACGTCACCTTCAGTCAGCTTTTCCGCATTGGGATCCACCTAAAAAACGCACGAAAAAAACGTGTTTGGAAAAACGCGTTTCAGAAAGTCAGGTCAAAACCCCTCCCAAGAATCATATACCAAATGGACCAACGGCACTCCAAAAAAGCATGATAAAACCCACAAAAAAACAACGGAATAACACCAACACCGAAATCGATATGTGCAACGTTCCCCCCACGTTTCAATACCACCTTCCACGTATCCAACAATGCCCAAAAAGTCTGCAGCAAATGCCACGATTTCACCCCAACAAAGCCCAATGAAAGGATGGTGCAAGCTTACTCCTACTTGTCCTCCCCGCTCGACGAACAACTATCAATGATCTGAGCACCTAACTTCCTCCCTCCCCCTTGATCCCGGCGCACCGCTCCCCCCCCGGGTCGTTAGTGAATGGTGATCCCGGGATAACGGTTTTGCCAAAACAGATAAGGCGTGATTAACCTTCTTGCATGAAACTCTTACTCGACTCTCAAAAAGTCTCAAGCCTGTTGCACATAACTCTTCGACTCTCAGAAAAACAAACTTCCATTCTCAATCACCAGACAGCACGCGTCGATATGGTTCTTCCTCACTCGACAGGAACTGCAGGATAACACCCCTGACGATGTACATGCATCGAGAACTTATCATTGCTGAGGCTGCCCTCCTACAAGACAGACACAATGATTCTTATAATGGGGCTTCTCCCCTTCTACGAGACACCGTCAATGGTTCTGGAGACGCCGTGCTACTACGAATCCCTCGATAAGGTGGCTATATCTGGTACATAGATCCACACTCACAGTAACAACGGAAATGTCAGCTGCAATAGTTTCCTCCTCTCCCCACTTCCACCTCATGTTGACACTGCACAATTTCAGCTGCACTGGTGCCTGCAACTTTGATACACCGAGCCCTGTGTACCCCCTTCTTTGGCCCACACGCTGGATACTTATTAACCCTGGGCGTGAGATTTCGTCGGCTTTGATACACCTGGTCCTTCCTGTGTACCCCTTCATGTCGGCCGACATGCTAGGCACTGCTGTTTTTCCCCTTGCGTGAATTTTCATCGGCTGCGGGGTGCGCCTGTGCTGCATCCCCTCATTTGATACGCCTGGTACCACGTACCCCTTTTTTTCTGTCCCAGACAAGATTTTCATTGCCAGCGAACGCCATGAAATGAAAGCGCCTGTACCGCGAATCCCCATCATAGCGTGGCTGGTTATTTGAGCCGAACTACCATCGTCGTACAAAACACCGGCCATAGCACGCCCGAATATACCATAGAGCAAAGACTATTTACATTTGCTCGACAAAACACCCACACTCAAGAACGGAAACGCCTGAATCGCGAATTCCGTTGCAAAAAGCATCGTTGGTTGCATCATCGTAAGCGAAGCTATGCTATCATCACTCTACGAACACCAAATAAGAAAATGGAAACGCCTTAGCCGTGAATCCCCTGGAGAAACTTTCGGCATCCCTCGTTCCGTGTGCTCGGGGCAGTTAAGCTACCCCCAGCAGCGCCTCTGCTAGAGCTGCCAACCGTACAGAGACAGTCGGTGGTCTGGAGCCCACCAAACCCACCATTTGCAGGGGCGTCAAATGCCCGCACCGGTTCACCTTCCGTGCCCGATCTACTTCTGCTCCTCCAGCCGCGTCATCTGTTCTAATGACTGCTGAGTGATCAACCTGCCATACCAACCGAATGCCTTGCCTAACAAGTACTCCGCACTGCAGTAACGAACCTGTCAAGAGCAGGAGGCGTAGAACCTTGAACGCGAAAACCGTCCGGACTCCGAAGTTCCCCCTGGATCTAATCCCATCGTTCGGGTTCATGCTTTCGTCTTCATCCAGAAGAAGACTCGGCTCATTTTCCTCGTCGTTGGAAGCGCCGCCCTGCATGCCCTCCCCGTTGTATCCCTCGCCCCTACCCCCTACATCACCGTGCCCCGACCCCCTGGTCATCCTCCCTCTCGCACGCGAGTCTCTGATCTACCTCCTCGTCGTTGCAATCCTCATCGCCCATGAAGGTATACGGTTTGTCCAAACCCTGCAACATGATTCGGTCATCGCCTGAACCGTCCACGTCATCACCTTGCCACACTTCTCGAAAAGGCAATACCGATACCCCTCGCGGTTGTCGAGAACTTCCATGGCTGCCCCAACCCATGCTGCTTGATTTCCTCGACGTATCGATCAAGAACGAACTGCGTCGTGGATCAATAATGAAAGTTGAACGAGCTGCTGCAATGTCTCAAGGGGTAAAGGCATGGTGTTACTCTGCATGCATGCGCCCAGCGCGGCACGCACACGCAATGAGAGGCGCAAATTGCAAGCGGTCACGTACCCCCTCTACGCCTACTGTCCGACGTTTTTTCAACGAATCCCCCCTGGATCTATCTAAAACTACAATCAATGTTGGATCGCACCCCACCTTCTCGCGTTGTTATCTGCAGCCGCAGCGTTTCGGGGGCTCCGTTCTTATTTGTATGTGACGGGCGTTAGTTCTTATGGCCAAGTTCTTTGGTTTTGAAATTGTTTTTCGGCTCACGTTCTTCACTGCTAAGTTCTCATGTAAGATATACTCGCAGCAGTCTCTAGACGTGAGGATCCTCGGGGATACGTGTTGAGAATTTCGTATGTTGATGGGTACCACCGATGCAGATACGGGGACCCTTTTGGCCTTGGTTGCGGTGTTGAAGGCTCGCGCATCTAGCGCACTGCTTTCGCTCTCTCCACCGCTACCGCCGTCTCTCTCCAATCAAGTTTCCTTCTCCAACGCTTTCTCCAACGCCAACGCAATCTCAATCTCTACCTCTCTCTCTCGGCCTAACACGGCCGACTACCCACTGCCCCAACAGACGCCCAACACGGGCTTGCTGCACCCCGCGTAGTTTACCTTTCACACTAGTGCGAATCAGATTCAGATTCTGCGCGCGGTCGTAGTACACCGGGGGGTTGTGCATTCACGCGCAATCGGTAGACTCCCACAACAAAAACATCATGCCTACCTCGGAGGATTCCGAAATCGACCTCTCCACCCTCAGCAAAGAAGAGCTGCAACAAGAAGTTCAACGAAGGGTGGACGCCCAACTTGCGAAGGAGAGAGCAGAAATCGCCCCACTGCCAGCAGAACAGCAGTCACCTACCATCGGCGAGCAGTCGATACGTCCTACACCAGCCGACATACCGCCCACCGGCAACCAGCCTTCACCCTCCAGCCAGGGATCCCAATCATTCAACAATCCCACCAACGTCGCCAACATCGTGGCGCAAGCGGTCAAGGCGACAGCCGAGGCCATGTCTGGACATCAGGGCTTTGCCCACACAGGCACGTTTCGTGTCAACCCCGGCTCTGACATAGACCCTTGGCTTGGAAGTGTGAAGAAAGAGCAGGATTTGTATATTATGTTTGATGTTTTTCGCAGTAAGATGGTGTCGTATTTTCAGGAAGAGGGTGTATATGATGTATTAGGGATCACTGATGTCAAGGTTGGCAAGAGGGGTGTGGATCTAGCAGAGCTAAGGGGCATCTTCGGGACTGATGTGGTGGACAAGTCGTTGAAGTTGTGGAATATTATCATCAGCAAGATTCTATACCCTCCGATCCAGAACTTGATCATGGCATGTGAGAGTCCCCAGCAGGGGTGGAAGATCGTCACGAATTTCTACCAAGAGAAGAAGGAGTCTGAGAAGACTAGGCTTGAGCAAGAGTGGTTGGCGTTAGAAATGCGTGAGTCGGAGAACCCACAGGATTACATAGCAAGGTCGGAAGCTCTTCGATTACGTCTTGCCTCAGTAGGAACTATCAAAGACACAACACATGCTTACAAGGACGTTGTGCGCGGCCTTCCCCCATCGTATGCCGTGCAAAAAGGAATATTGCTAGCAAGCGATGTCGTGACTTTGCATGCCCTTGAGACTGTGGTGAGGGACGCCCACATGGAGATGGAGCGCGAGAGGAGCAAGGAGCAGAGGCGAGAGGCGGAGCTCGCCCTCGTCGCGTCCGGTGCGAGCCGGAGCGGCGGGGGCAATGGGGGGGCATCCGGGGGACAAGGAGTAGTCGACGGTCAAGACCGTGAAATCCGTGATGGCGAGAGAAACCGTGACGTGTTCGTCGAAGATCCCACCGGTTTTTGCCGCTACCACCAGTCCGAACTACACACGAACGGGCAATGCCGTTACCAGCAGCATCTGCGGCGGACTCGCACGAGAGCAGCCGCCGAGGATCGCCACGGAGGTGGCGGCGGAGGCCGTGGCGGCGGCTGGAGCCAGCGAGGAGGAAGACCGCCGTCGGGAGCCGGCCGGGGTGGCG